TGAGATTTTTTCCTCCATAAATACCTAGCCAGAAGATATGGTTTGGCTGTGTCGCCACCCAAAATCTCATCTTGAATTGTAATCCCCACGTGTCAAGGGCGGGACCAGATGAAGGTAATGAGTCATGGGGGCAGTTCCCCCCATGCTGTTCTCGTGATAATAAGTGAGTCTCATGAGATCTGATGGTTTTATAAGCTTCTGGCATTTCCCCTGCTTGCACATCTCCTTCCTGCCGCCTTGTAAAGAAGGTGTCTTGCTTCCCCTTCGCCTTCCGCCATGATTGTAAATTTTCTGAGGCCTCCTCAGCCATGCTGAACTGAGGTCAGGTTAAAACCAACTTCCTTATAAATAGCCAGTCTCAGGGGTATCCGTTCCTTTAATCTGAGCAGCATGACGATGGACTGACTCCACACCAGATTTTCCTAATGTGCATTCTTTTTCTGGATTAGATTATAGATAGTCACACACATATATATATATATATATATTTTTTTTTTTTTTGAGCACAGGAGTCCGCGTCTACTCACCCAGGACTGAGGGCTGAGATACAGTGGCCGTGACTCGTGCTTACTGCACACCTCTGGCCTCCACGGTACAAGGTGATTCTCTTGCGCCTCAGCTCTCCCGAGTTTAGCCTGGGATTATAGAGTGATCTCCTGCCTCCAGCCTCCGAGTAGCTGGGAGATTTTAACAGGCGTGTACCACCACACCTGGCTAATTTTTCTTATTTTTTTAGGTACAGAGGACAGGGTTCACACAGTTGACCAAGGCTGGTCTCCCAACTTCCTGACCTCAAGCGATACACCGACGCTCAGACTCCCAAAGTGCTGGGATTACATGTGTGAGCCACTGTGCCTGGCTGATTTAAGATTTTTACTATAACCAGCCAATGGGTTAATCCCACCCACTGCACAGTCAAAACCAATTCACTGAGACCACGGAATTGCAATAAAGAGTTTAATTGACAAACAAGGTCTTGCTCTGTCCACCAGGCTGGAGAACAGTGGTGCAACCTTGGCTCACTGCAGGCCCAACCTCCTGGCCTCAAGTGATCCTCCCTCCTCAGCCACCCATAGTGCTGGGATCACAGGAGCCAGCCACCACACCCAGCCACACTGGGGTTTTTATGGAGGCTTCATCACAGAGGCATGATCATCACTGGCCCTTGGTAGTCAACTCAGCCTTCATCTTCTCTGCCCTCCCAGGAGTTTTGAGGATGGAGATGAAATTCCCAACTCTCTAATCCTGTCTGGTTTTCTGGTGACCAGCTCCCATCTGGAAGCTACCTCGGGGCAGTCGGAGGGCGAGTCTCTCATTGGGCATAAAAAGACACTTTGGATACTTCAGATCTATTCCAAGGGTTGGCAGGGAGGCTTTTGCCAGAGCAGGGACAAAAAAACAAACATTATTATTTAGAATATCACCATGGTGTAAGTTACTCGATAAATGGACTTGGATTGGTAAACAAATGATTGGATGGAGGAGCTGAGGTAAATATGGACGTGGGTTGGGTATGACGCCTATGGATTGAGGTTTCTGAGCCACTTGTCACTCGCGTGTTGTAACTGGGGCATCTTTGCTGAGGGACCCTGGAAGCATGGCCAGCTGGGACATTCCAAGAGGATTTTGGGTTATGGAAAGGTTAGATCTTCCAAGACATTTTGTTCATGCCTACACGTCCATGAGTGTGGGTTTGTTCCCTGGAGCGGGCTTCACGAGGGGAGGGGGCGTTTGGGTTAAAGGCTCCTGGATTTGCCTCTGGGAAACCTCCTGCTGGAGACCTGGCTGTACTGCCCGTCTGGCAGGATGGCTTTCCTGGTCCTCTCCTGCACGCTGCGGTATAGTGGCATGTGGTGATTTTGCCTTACGGGATGGCAACGAGTGGTTGAACTGAAGGGCCAGAGTGTGGTTGTGAGCAGGGATGGGGATCTGGAGCGAAACAGGTGGTTATTAGTCTTGCGAGGAATGGGGCCTTGTGGAAGTGGGTGTCTTTTGGGTGGTGACAGGAGGGGCAGCAACCTGTGGTATCCCTTTTGCCTCAGTTCGTGCTCGGGCAAGCTTTTCTGGTTGCCTTGTTCTTTGTTTTCGGATGTTGATGAGCGAAGGTTAGAACGGTTTGTTCTGGTGATTAGCTGATGTTTAGACAGCTGTTCGGTTTTAGCTCTGTGGTCCCTGAAGCTGCTTCTGTCAGCCCAAGGCAGGACTGGATTCCCTTTTGTGGAGACACCGGACCACTGTCCTAATTGGTCACTGTCGCGCTATGAGGCAGGGCTTGCCGGCATGCCCTTCGGGTTTTCTCTTGGAGTGTGTGAGTGTCGCTTTTCCCTTCCCACTAAGGTGGCACGCCCCTTGGTTCAAGGGGTGATGGTTTTTGTATCAGTCTTTCCGGTACCAGGAGCTTACAGTCTGGCGGTTTTTCGTAAAAATGTGTGAATGAATGAATTTCAGGGTGAGATGTTTTATAGCCCCCTATTGTTTTTTATAAGTTAAATGATTTTAGGTTATATAGAATACTCTATTGTAATTACTATGGCCAAACTGGACTACGGTGACTGGCTAAGAAAATTATATAAGAAAGA